AAACCCATCTCAGAACTTAAATCCGGTGTCATGTCGTAACTCACATAAGTGTCATGTCCAGCCTATGCAAGTATCAGTGTTAATCTCAAGGTCTAAATTGATGTCCACCACATGGACTAAAACTAGATGTAGTGAATGTCCAACACATGGACTGCATATAAAAATTGTCCAAAACATGGACTGAATGTGATAAATGTCCAATACATGGACTACACATCATAATTACCCAACACATGGACTAGATGAAATATATGAACAGATGCATATACCCTAATTTCTCAAGTGCCTCGGTATGCAAACCTAAACTCGTGTCCGCATGTCATCTCACATGTAAAGATATAGGTTAAATAATAATTTCTAATACCCGTTATTCGAGGCGACTCCCCGTTCATATTAAAGCACACAACAATAATAAACAAGCATAAACAGTTTCAGTTAAACTGAAACAACCCCAAACCGAGGAAACTGGAAAATTCCTCATCAGGCGACTCATGAGTTGATTGGGATTGGTCGACTCATTGGTCAACCAGAACAAAACAAAAAACTATAAATTTTCCCATCAGTCGACTCATAAGTCGACTGGTAAGTCGACTCATTAGTCGACTGAGCAGAAATTTCCTAGTTTTTCTGCATACGATGATTTATATAAAAAATTTAAATCTAAAGTTCTTCTTCATCATGTCCAACAAAATATTTCCGATTCTAACACATGTGTATCAACAGAAACGAAAGATTTGCATGTAATAACTTACATTAAAACCCTAAACATATTTATCCATATTTAAAAATGTTTAAAAACAAAGAAATCACAAAGAAACACATGTTTAAAACTAACTCCAGATCTGGATCTACATTACAAAAACGTTGGTGAGTTTTTATTAAACTGAAAATGTAGATCTTGCAACTCATAATATAAAGCATTTATTTTTATGCACAAAAATACGTTTTAGGCTCAAGAATTTGAAATAAATCTCAAAGAAAACTATACAAACCGTGGGTGAGGACTGGGCGAGATGTTACTCGCATCTGGTATGCTAGAACAACTCCTGAATCCGAGAGAGGATGATTCCCTTCGCTGCACCTCGCCAAAACCCACTGAAATCCTCCGAAAATCCCCCAAAAATAACCAAAAATGAACTAGGGTTTGAGGGGAGAGAGGGGCTAGGGTTTCTCTAGGATTCTGATGGGTTTGGGGTTGGTTTCGGGTAAAATAAAATATATATATATATAATATGGTTAAAACCCGAAAGAAAACTCACCCAAACCCGCAACTAAAAAATCTGGAAATCTGCCTATAAGTCGACTCATAGGTCGACTCATAAGTCGACTCATAAGTCGACTAATTAAGCCGATGTTTTCCAGATTCGTGTATGTTTTGCTAATTTGCCAAAACCAATACACAAAACTCTAAAAATACACTCATACATATCTGAAAACTTGTTATCAAGTATATCTATGATCTCAAGTCATTTACCACAATAGAATTATCTATCACCAATAATTCACATATACTTCTAACAAAAATACAGGGTTTTACATCGAGGAAGGTGATTTTACGAGATTATTAGAATTGGTTCTTATGTTGTGTGCATGACAAAATAGGAGTAAAGAATAAGTGTGAGAGTTATGATAAGTGAGAGTGATTGTTGTGAATATATGCAAGTAACAATAAATTGAATTTTAGAGAAGAGAAGTAAGAATCAAAGAATAGAATAAAAAGCAAGAAAGAGAAAAATTAAGACAACAAAAGATGGAGGGTTCAATTAAAGATATGAGAAATCTAGAATTAAATCCACTAGCTAATCTTAATTATTAAATACAAACTATTCTCTTTTTGTTATTTTTTTAATTTAGATTTATTAAGTATAGACTATCAAACCATTTAAGGAAAGTATAACCTATCAAATTATCAACTAAGTCAAAATAAAAATCATGATAAGAACAACAACAAGATAGTAATCCTAGAATTCATAAGTATAACCTATCAACAAACCATTTAAGATAAGCATAGATTATCAAATTCTTCTTCTATCTATTAGTTCTCTAGTTGATTATCCTAAACATGATCATTTTAAGTGTAAGAGAATATTTTACATAACATAAAGGAAATTAGACTAGTTTCATACAATTCTAAGATTCCTACAATAATTAATTTTACATCTTAAGAAATAAAAATAAGAAGAAAAAGAACTAATTACAAAAATAAAAAATCTCTGGAGTAAAAATCATCAATGTTGCATGTTGACCATCGATGAGTAATGAGCTCTTCTTACCGTTAATGGTCAAAGTCTAACATTGATTGTGAGAAGGTTGAAATTAGCTTTGGAGCTTATTTGGACACCATTTCACCTCATATACTTCTTATACCTATATTTACATGTACTATATCATCTTAAACAAATATTAGTACCAAATTAGGGTTTGTTATTACTCAAACAAGAGTTATTTGTACAGACTACGTCCTAACATGGGGGTGGTAATATAAAGTTTGGATGAAAAACCATTTCGGTTTCATAATATTAATACCACACACATAATACGGTTTTGTTATTAGGTTGAAGCAAGTTGGCAATTCTAGCTTTCATAGATATATTTGCGTAAATTTTTTTTTTCTTCCAATATCTATCCAATTGTTGACGACATTTAGGATGACGCCTGTAAAAAAATTGTGATTACACTGACACTTGCAATATTTATACATGTTATAAAAAATTCCAAAAAGAATGGATAGTTTTAATAATGGATAATGTTAACTATAGTAGTTCACTTACATTATTTTTTGCACTACAAGAGAGAAAAATGTGGACTTCTTTGATGAGTTATCAATTTTAAATAAAAGTTAAAGAGGTTGGACCACAACACATTTCTCTCTTATAGCGTAAAAAATGATGTTGTTATCATTACTCTTTTATAATTGTTATTGTTTATTAATTTCAGTAGTTAATGCCAGATTATACACATTAAATATTTAGACATCCATTTGGAACAATATACAGTCCACAGTATACACGATCATAGTTGCATATTCACGTGCCATTCATGTGCCAAAAAGTCGGTTTGTTTTTTATTTTCTTTTTTTTTTTTTTTTTTTTTTTTTAAAGTCGGGTTTTTTTTTTTTTTTTTTTTTTTTTTTTTTTTTTTTTTTAAGGAATAAAAGTTAGCATGTTAAAAGTCGTCACTATGCGTCTTCATTCTAGATATCCAATGCCCATAATTCAATAATAAATGTTCACCACAATAAGTCTACAATGGGCTAGATGCTGTAATGTTTAGACGCCAATTCTTTTCTAGAGGAAAAAGGAAGGAGTGCCTCACGTTTTTTTCCTCTCAAATAATAATTTTCATGGTCTTGTTGTGGTTTATCGCAGCTGTTGCAATCAATCACGACTCACGAGTGACGCCCATTACTCTCCTTCCTTTTGAGATGGTCCAAAAAGATGGAAGCAAGGGCCTA